TAGAGGGCCATCGGGAGGTACTAAATACAAACCGACTCAAGTCTGCAACCATGAATGATTGTGAGCCCAATATTGGTACAAGGAACTGATCATCGAGACTCCTATTAAGGATGAAGCTAAAAGAATCCACTCATTCCATGGAAATGATGGAATACTAGGGCATTTCGTAGATATGACGACCAAGATTGTTTGATGCTGAGCCTAGTCGTAGTCTTCTCTAGTTTTCACTCTAATCATTTTGCTAACACGAAGTGATTTCACTCGTGGTACCTGAATCGAGCCACTCTATCCCTTAACGAGTTAGTCTTACTGGCAGCAGATGGTGAGTGTTGCCGTAACATATCTCTACTCTTCCTTGCTCCATTTTTCTAACTCTTAAACTTCATTTAAAATAAGAGACCACCACCTTTTCTCATTTCATTCTTTCCTCCTGGAGTCCATTCCTCTTTTCTTCATTTCCAATTTTCCACATTTCTTCTCCTCAGTGCCTTCTCTATTAAATTACTCCTTTCCTCTTTTTTACTTCTCATTACATTGCTTCCTCGTTTTTTCATCAGAACCCGTCGCCTCCTCTTTTCTTCTTTCTTCTTATTTCATTCTTTCTTACTTTCATCCTTTCACTTTATGCAATCCCTTCCTTCTCTTTTCCTTCCTATCTTATCACTTTCTCCTCCTCTTTTATATCTTTTTTCTTCCTTTCCTATTTTCATATTTTTAGTTCCTTATTTTTTCAATCCTCTCTTCCTCTTTTCATTTCATTCCTTCCTCCTTTATTTATTTCCTTAATCGGTGCTTTATCAACTTTTTACTTTCTGATCAAATTCCAGCTTTAAATCTTAGCTCATCAGATGATCATACTTTTGGGAAGTCACCTCACTTCCTGGTAAACACTGTTCATAATCTTCTGGGTAGTTTGTTAATTTTTTCTACCATTGGAAAATACAATATCTTTTAAAATCTTAATACTTCTCATAAACCATTGATTTTGATTACTACAGAAGCTGACGGCCCTGCGGTCGAGGATGAATATCTTGAGGTAACTTTGACACGAGAACCCTCTAATCCCAGTGGACCTGGATTCGGCTTCAGCATTGCTGGCGGCTCTGATTCACCATATTTCTCGACAAATCCTGGCATTTTTGTCACTAGGATCGCAGCCAATGGCGTTGCCGAATTGGATGGCCGTATCAGGCAAGTTGTTCTATAGTTTGTGGATAAGTCAAGCCAAAATAATAAGCATAGTCGTCATGACCACAATACAAGAGTGGGCACAGCCAAATACTTTCTTCTACAGGCTAGTTAAAGTATCCACTTTCCAAAATCGTATAGGCCTGTTAGAATAGTGCGTCCTTAATGGCGCACTCTTAGTCTATTCTTTTTTGGAAGATAACTTTGGAGCCTCTCAATATTCATTCCAGTTAAAACTAATTTGCTACTGAGGTTATCATTGATGCTTCTTATGAGCACAATAATTTTAGTATGCATGAAGTAAAGCTTGATTTCTAAAAATTCATTTGTGATTTATTGTGGCAAGAATTTTCATTTCTAATAATGGGTTGGTTGGAAGGAATTCATGAATTGGTATGACCGAAAACCGATATACCCGCTCAGACCTTTCGTCTGCCATACGCAATAAGCAATGTTTCACGAAATAACTTACCTATATGCTATTATATTAGTTTATATAATAAATATATTAGTGAACTTCTTCGTAAGGTGTAGCTTCTTGGACTGACAATGTTCGCCAGGGCGAGGCGAGAGAAAACTCAGCACCGGTTCACCGGGGTTGCAGGACAGTGAACTGGGTATTTAGTGGAAAAAGCTAACAATCTTCACTCCACGATACTTAATCCGCCAACGGTATTTGGTGGGGCGAGCTTACGAGTTTCTTCTTCTAACCAACTTTTTATCTAAAATAGAAAGTCGAATCTTCGTATGTAGTTTATTGTTACTCCTGACAAACTGGATGCTTCTTTATATTCTTATGGCTAATATTTGCAAAATTTCATACACATACGAGGTTGCTTATGGGAATGGATGATTGATAGTAACTTTTCATAAAATTAGATGACTATGCCTCACGATACAATTGATAGTCTTGAAGTCCTAATAAATTCAATTGTATCACTCACAAACTACGCAAATTCAAGGGCTTTATAATATCTTCCAGTTTATCTTTAGGAAGAAGAGAAGAGATCGAAAAGTTAATTTTTCCAAGTAATTTTGCTCAAAATATAAAATTCCAGGATAACCTGATAAAGACTTTTTATTTCTTAATGCTTCTTATCCGTTTTTATCCAGGTCAGCAAATACAGTCCACAGCTGATGATCCATGTATTTGGGTTTAGCTCCATTTGTAGGAGAAAGACATGTCCTTCTATCAACGGCTTTACCGATGCAAATATAAACACAAAAGTCCTGCATTTTCATACTCTTTCTTTCTTTTTATTTCCTTCTCTTTCCCAATGATACACGTCTTACTACTACTAAACTGCTTTCAGGCCTAATAATAGATGTATATCTTCGGCGTTGCCTCGCTTTGCTTTGGCACCGGTCATTATTCACCTTCCTTGTCCTTCATTATTTGCGATTTTCTATGTGCTTTGTAAGCATGCAATGATCATGAGTCAATGGGAACGCTAGAGCCACAAACTTTAATCGAGGCCTCCTTTTTCCCACTGGTTCTTCTGAACTCTTCTCCCAAAGCCTATCCAACGACCAGAAGTGGTTTCTGCTCACTTTTATACACTCGATCTTTGTATTCAAAAAGTTGATTCAGTTTCTAGCCTATTATGACTCCCTAATCCTTAATTTGACTGTAAAGTTTCCAAATCATAAAAAATGTTGGGTTTTAGCCCATTCTACTTGGGGCCCTGTGTTGGCTGAATGTCAAGCTTTTTTCCAATCCTGGACCGACAAACTTTGTTAGGCGATATTTTTGCTCAGATAATCTCTATCGGTCTCCTTCACGTTGACCCCTCATCATGACATCAAAACATTGTAAAAACCTAATCTGGAGGGTGGGTCCGAATATTTTGAAAAAATTTCAGCCTAACTTTGTACATTCTCCTGATACTACGCCTACTCAATGATTCCCACATCCTTTTGGGAAATCGACACGATTGTGAATTCCAGACCTCAAAAGAGTCTTCCCCGTCTTGCCTAAAAGTTAAGTCATGCAAATAAACTCGCCGGCTCATTCCTAAAAACTGTATATATACTCTATATCTGACCTCTTTTATGAGGTATAAAGTGATTTTGTTAGTTCCAGTCATATGTCAACCTCGAAGCATGTGAGTGTGTTTGTCTCTGTATGTGTATGTGTCTGCATGTGTTCGCATATGTACGAAACGAGGAGTGATCGTTCAAAGTAAGTAGGACGGCAAAAGTAACGTATGTTCTTGGCCATCAAGGTTTGATGACCACCATAACCTGACTCTTCATTCCTGAGAACCAAATTTTTCATTACCCATCAAGTGGATGAAAATATTTTATTAACCAAGACTATTAATCGAAGGTATGAAGACCAAGATGGTGTGGCTTTTTGTGTGGTCGCAGTCTCCTTTCGTTCTATAGAAGTTGTTTGACCTTGTTTTTGCAACATTTTCATATTGGTAGGAAGACTTAGAGGAACTCACCTAGTCCGGAGTCCGTTGTATGCATGATCATTTCCAGAGTCGGACCGTGAACGTAGTACATTCCCAGACGTTTCACCGGCATCGTCAGTGAGTCTCATCATTCTTAGCACCACACAACAATTCTTTAAAGAGACAATTGAAGCCGATCTTTTCACCAAACGTCTGCTAAACAGTTGTGATATCACCTCTTTTGCCCTGGGCTATTCACATTTCCTATATCCTCCTATCACGCCTTCCTTGTTACAATTTGACGAATAGGCAAATCATTTTTAAGTCATGTAATTTTTGCTCAAAGGAGCACACCACACTACATCTAAATAAGCACGGTAACAATTGTAACAGTGAAGGCGTGATGGGATGATATAGGAAATGTGAATAGGCCGGTGCAGAACAAGAGAAACCACAACTGTTTAGCACACGTTTGGTCAAAGGATCGGCTTCACTTGACTCTTTGACGAGTTGTTGTGTG